AATATATATTTATTAAATCTAGAGCAATTTGCTTATATAATATAAAGCTCTAATCTTGCAAATTGATAGCAATAATATTTAAAATATCTTTTTTTTAAAAAAGTAATTTTATTTTAGTTTTTTTTAGTAAAGTAATACTTTATTTATTTTTAAATTAAAGCATAATAATACTTTATTTATTTTTAAATTAAAATATAATAGAATAATTAAAATAATATAAAAAATTAATTTAGATTATTTTTTATCTAATAAAAAAAATTATAAAGATTGGTTAAAATTTGAATAATTTTTATTAGAAGTAATTATTTAATTTTATATTAGTATATAAATCTTTTTGCATTAATCTATAGCTTGTAATATCAATACTTTTTCTAATAATAAGTATAAATTTTTATAATTTTAAGATTTTAGTCAAAATTTCTGAAAAAAATTATATTTTATATATTATTTTCTTATTTTATAATTCAATTTTTCTTATTAAGATTTATATATAATATTATATATAGTCAAAAATGAAAAAACTTAATTTCTTAGATTTATTATAATTTAATAAAAATTTATTTAAAAATATAAAAATTTTTATATATTTATTTATTATCTATTAAATATTTACTTAAGACTATTTATTATTTAATATTAATATTATTTTTATAATTAATTTTATATTAAAAAATTAATTTTAAAAAGCAATTAGAAAAGTTTTATTATATAATTTACATATTAAAATTCTGCAAAAATATTAATAAAAAATAATTTCAATCATATTTCTCATGAAAATTTATTATATTTTTATCAGAATTTTACTAAAAATTTCTTATAATCTAATAAACAAATTTAAGAACAATATTAATTTGAAAAACAGATTTAATTCAAATTTATAAGAGATATTTTATTAAATTATACTATTTTTTATTCTTAAATGCTAAAAAATATATTATTTTTTATTATTTAAATATTAATAATTTTTTATTAGTTTTATTTAATTTAAAAAATAATTAAGTTTTTTTGTCACTAATTATATATTATATATTATAATTTTTATTAAAATTATTATATTAAATTTTATTACATTTCTTTTTTATAATATTGCTTTATTTTCTTTTGTAAAATTCTTTACTAAACACACCGTGATTTAATAACTTATGAAATTTGTAATATATAATTAATAATTTATATAATATAATAATTCAACTATATAGATAAGTAAATAATAACTAATAAAAACTATTTTGTCTCTAATTATTTCAGCTTTTAGTTCTTTTATACCTGCAAAAATTGAATATTTTACTTCTTTTATCATAGATTCAGTTAATAATGATTTTTTCTTTTTTTATTGTGAATTTTGTTATTAATATTTTTAGAGAATTGTCGTTAAATCAAATGCGGTTTTTGTCTTTTTATCAATTTATGTTCGTAAATCACATTACGTTTAAAAAGGTTAAAGTTTGATCGAAATCATACCGTTTGAGGAGAGTGGCATAAAAAAATTAAAAAAGGATAGGGAGTATGTGCAGTAGGGTTGTTAATGCATAACCTAACCCCAATCCGGTTCATTAGCTCCGGAGCAATACTCCAGGTTATGCTCTGGGCTACTCCATTGGAGCAACCAGACTCCAGTCTGAGTGGTAGTAAACCTACTCCAGACTCGGGTTGGGTTCACTCCGGAGCGGCTCCGGAGTGTGCTATTTCTTTATTTATGAAAAGCAATAATTTGTATTTATTTCACTTGATATTTAAGAAAAATCTTTTATAAACTGTAAAAATTTCTTTACCCCAAATTTAATCGCAATGAATTAACATAACAAAAATGCAGCGGTTCCCTTAACGTTGCAAGCACAAGAATGACTAGTATCAATGCCATGGAATTCAATTAGTATCACATGAATACTTTGGCAAAGTTTGAATCAACAATATCCATACGGGGGTCAGCTCTATTAGCAACAGGTATTGTATTGTAACCATCAGTGTCGTTTAAACAATAAGTGATCAACAAACTAAACAGTTATCAAACATAGCACTGGGGTAAGACGTTAAGAGTTAAGAAACCAGTTATTGGGGGCTGTGAGAGTATGGTGACGTATTTTTTGTATGTCGCACATGTAGCGGTAGTACAGTCAAGTCTTGTTACATATACGTGTACATGTATAACGAAGAAAGTGATCGGTATAACACGTGTTTGTTGCTTTGTCTATTATTATTATTATCGTTTTTAAACGATCAGAACTACCAAAACAAGAACCAAAGGATAGACAGTACATACAGTAACAATAACGATAAGAAATATTAATATTGAACACATTGCTAATTTCTAACGTTACTAGATCTACAATGAATAAAAATAACGCGAATTTCATACAACTATTTCAAACACGATTTCTTCCAGATCTTGAATCTATGCAAGTCTCGCATTCAATAATACAATCATCATTTTCAGACATTTCATACGAAACAGAAGAAGCAACAATCATTTCAGAAATCAAGCAGCAAGAACGAAATTTCTATAAATTAACGCAGAACAACATCAAAATCATTAATATCTCCGCTGCATTCACATACGATCTTTTAATCTACATTAACGAAATGATCCAGCGAAATCTCGAGCATGAAGAGTTTCTTGCCGTATTGGAGGAAGTGGCGAGACGTACGACTGAAATTCTCGAAGAATGCGAACGTATCAAAAAAGAATACGAACAGATGTTTGTGTTGTTGGGTATGATTGCAAAGAATCTGAATTCGCAAAATGAGGAATTACGAAAGAAGAAAGAAAATACTGAGAATGAAATACAGAGATTGAAGGAAGAATCTGAAGGCGAATTTATGTTTCGAACGGGTGGATTGGTGCTTACAGGAATCACCGTATTTCAAGCACCACGTATCACCGGTGCACTATTAACTATCGTGATGTCGATTCCGTTACTTTATTCTTTGAGAACATCCGAAATGGTGAAAGAAAGAATCGTTAATGCATACAAAACTCTTAGTTTTTTAGTCGTTAAAAAGCAGAAATTAGTATACACCCAAAGAACAATCGAAAATATCAATTTTCATATACAAATAATTATTCAAGTGCTTAAAGAGGTCGAGGAATTTTGGTGCTGTTTATTGCGTGGAACCTATTTTGCGGAAGGGAAGAATAAAAGCAAAGAAGAAATATTAAGTAACAATGATATCAAAAACAAAGTCCAAAAGTTGCCCCGGGTTATTGGAAAAGCGCGCGTTGAGAAATGGGAAATTGCTAGAAATGTATTTAATGCTTATATCACAAAGATGCGGGATGCGACAAATGAAAATATCGAAAAATTGCGATGCGAATTTTATTAGCTTCTTTTTTTTCAAATATGAATAAAAGCGAATGATTTTATTCTTCAAAATTAAACCTTCGGCTGTTTTGACTTTGACTTTGCGTAGCGTTCCATTACGAAGTTAAGTGTTGCTCCCAATCTCCGTCCGTATTGAAAATAAAATTGGTTTCCGTTCTAAATTTCATAATCAGAAATTTATTCATATGCCTCTTCAAATAAATGGCAAATTTAGGTTTTTTTTAAGGGTTACATTTAAGCTTTAAGATTATTTTGTGCCAGATAATATTTATCATTTTTTTATTTCCAAACTCGGTTTCAAAAACCATTAATTTTCCTCATTATGTGTTTATGTGTTACACGTCGTCGTTGTTCTTGTTATATTTCGGCAACACTGATTACAATTACATTCTTTTTTCCCTAGCCCCAGCTGTTTGTTATACATATCGTAAGATTTTTTTCACGAAATTGATGATCGTGATGAGGTGATAAACAAAACGTATTTCGGTAACACATAAAGAGGCAGTTTCCTTTCCTTTCATAAATCTAGATTATTTTCCATTTTAATCCAACCATAAAAATGTCAGAAGTTGAAGAATCGTCAAAGACACAATTCAGTACCTCCATACCTACACAAAATATTGAACAGCAGCCGCCACAATCACAACAAAAAAATCAATCTTCATCGCAAAAACCAAAAAGACGTGCAAATGTAATCGGCGCCGGTGTCTCGGGTTTAACTACTGCACTTCTTCTACAGCGAAATGGCTACCAGACGACCATTCTAGCAGAATTTTTTCCAGGGGATTTAAGCATTCGGTATGGAAGTCCGTGGGCTGGCGCGGACTGGCGGTCGAATGTTGAAATGGATGATGCACAGTTGCAAAGTAAAATTTCCTAGATTCATGATTTTGTTTGAGAAATTTGAACCGCTAATATAACTGGAGATATCATTTTGATGTTATAGAATTTGAAGCGTATAGCTTCAAAACTTTATGGAAGTTGTCGAATGTCGCGCCCGATGCCGGAATTAAAATTGTAACAATTTATGATTATGTCGACAAAAAACCAAAACTGAGAAGAGATCAGCCTTGGTTTAAGAAAATAGTGCCTAATGTAAGATTATAAATTTACATTCCATATTTCATTGATTTCTAGTTTCTGATAACTATATTTATGAAACTTAATAAAGTTCAAAGTACTCCGTAAACCTCATTTACCAGCAAACTGTGAATTCGGCGTTTCATATACTACGGGTATAATTTAATTCAATATTTTCTCTGTCATTCTTGAAGTATATAACTAATTTAATCATTCGTTTATGTATATAGTGTCATTGAACGTGCCAAAATATTTGCGCTGGTTACTGAATCAATTCAAAGAATCCGGTGGTCAAACAGTCAACAAACGGTTAGCACATATTAAAGAAGCGTTTGGTCCGGACATCGACGTAGTCGTCAATTGTTCTGGGGTTAGTGCTCGAACTTTGGGTGGAGTTGAAGATGAAGCAGTTTATCCGACTCGTGGACAAACAGTGGTTGTTTGGGCACCTCATGTGAAATCTATCGTAACTAAACGATGTATTTGTATTTTCAATTATAAATTTTAAAGGTTTAGTTCGAATCTTTCTCTGAACTTCTTTTTTTGATTTAGCGACTGTGGCCGGTAATTACGACATTACGTATCTAATCCCAAGGGATGATGGGCAAGTTATTCTTGGAGGCACTTTCCAACCTAACGATTAGTAAGTACTGATAAAATTTACAAACAATTAATTGACATCGAAGAAAAAGGATTTCTAATTTGTTTTATGTTTGTTACTCGTTTAGCAATTCAGAACCCGATGAAAAAGTCGCAAGAGAAATAATACAAAAATGTGACGAACTTTGTCCGGAACTTACGCACGGAAAAGGTATACGAAGTCTTGAAATCACCTCGCATAATGTTGGATTGAGACCTTCAAGAAAAGGTGGAATACGAATCGAAACGGAATATAGAAGTGAGTGTTTGTTGATTCTCTCTGTTGCTATTTTTCCTTTTGACATCTGTTTCCAATCAACAATTGCAATTTTAAAGAGAGGGATGACGGTTCAGAAATTCTTGTATGCCATAACTATGGCCATCATTCATACGGTAATTAACTTATATAAATGTGCTGTATATATCAAAAAAAAGAACTCTTTACTTACTTTAATTTTACACATAAAAAGGATATACTTCAAGTTGGGGCGTAAGCTGTGAAGCATTCAATCTTATCGAAACAGCATTTGCCAAACGACAAGAATTTGAAGTTGCATTCACCAACGATAATAGTAAAACGGATCAAATGGTAGAAAAGTCCGAGTCAAAGTTGTAGTTATTGGTTGATTTAATCAAAAGAATAGGGCTATTGTTAAAGGGTTTTCGATTATATTTTTTTTTAATCAACTTTCAAAAATAAAAATTCGCAAATTCATGTATTTTACAGCATCAAATGTACATGTACATGTATTATTTCATTTGTATCCCATTTCTAATTGTAAACGCATGATATGCTATGCATGTTCATGTCGGATAGCTATCATCGATGATGATTGGTGCAGAGCACCCTCCAATAATATCATCAATTGATCAAAATACGCGTATACCTACCATAGTAGTTATACTCCGAAGATATAAATAGCAGTGAATATTTTTCTTTAAGATGATGGAAGTTCGTTCAAACAGGATTAATTATTAACACAATGGAACAAAAAGTAGAAAACATTGAATCGACTACTACTTTACATTCTCCTTCACAAATAGTTCCATCTCAGCTGGCTTCACGTGTAAAGCCACGAATTCTTATAGTTGGAATTGTGCAATGGGCGCGTCAGGAAGTATATTTGATGTCAGCTAAATATGAGTTTGAGGTAGTCTCAGTTCCTTAGGTCTCTATAAGTCACAAATAAGTTGCACTTCTCTATAAGAACATTGTCGGAACACAAAAACTTAGTTCCTATAGGGAGAATTTTATGTACTCTTATAATAAGTTTGCTTTTTGAAAATCGATTGCTATTATACAAGCCAACCTCTCAATAACGACATCAAATGTCCAGGCTAATTTTGTCCTTATAAAGAGAATGTCATTATATAGAGGTCGATTTTCCTATAGTAATATATGAATCATTCTAGAAAATTTGGTCGCTATAGAGAAATCCCGTTATAAAAAGTTTCGTTATAGGGAGGGAGATTGACTTGTAAAGAGACATGACAGTACTTAAAATTTAGTCTCTTATATCTATTTTTTCAAAGATGTGTACAGCCGAAAATCGGGAACAATTTATAGAATTCTGTCGCGAAAAGTATCAAGGCGTGGTAGCTATCTATCGAAATAATGTGATTTCTGATGTGAGCCAATGAATTTTTGGATGTATCTACCCTTTTGCATTTTATCAACCAACTTATTTTCTTTTGGAATTTTAGCGAATTGGAAATTTTGACGAAATCTTGATTTCAAAACTCCCTGATTCTGTAAAATTTATTTGTTATTATGGCATAGATTACGATACGATTGATATTGAGGCTTGTTGCAAAAAAAGTATAACATTTATTATTTAACTAGTGCTTTTAAAATGTTGCTAAATTAAAATATTCATCTCACGAAATTTTAGCTTATTTTGCTTTAATTTTATTCTTTTGGTTTAACTTTGTCATTTAAAATAACAGAAATTATGGTCTCTAATACGCCGGAACCCGTATACAACGCCACAGCTGACACTGTAATGCTTTTGATATTATCTACTTGTCGAAATGCGTTTGCTGCTCAGAATAATTTACGAAATGGTAACTTTTCATCGATTAATTATATTTTCGCGTGCGATTTATTTTATATGAAAATTTAAATATAACTATTTAGGAAACTGGAACTTTGGCTTGCGGCGAGGAATTAATCCCAACCGAAAAATTTTGGGAATCTATGGAATGGGAGGAGTTGGAAAGGTAGGAAATAATAAATTTTTTTTGATTTTTCAGAAATATATATAATGTATCATATCTTTGATTAGGTAGTTGCAAAAAAAGCATACGCATTTCGAATGAAAATTCAATATTATAGTCACAGTCGATTAGATATTGGCAGTAAGTTACTGCGTTTGATCTCAGTTTAAGTTTTTTTTTTGAAATCTTGGAGAGTTCATAATTCAGACAAAAAAATTAGCCGAAGCACAATTGCACGCCGAATATGTCCCCCTTGATCAATTTTTCCGGACCTCAGACATTATTTCATTAGACTTGCCATTGCGACCAGACACCAAACACATAATCGGTCAAGAAGAACTCTCGAAAATGAAACGAGGCGTAATAATAATTAATGCTTCTGCGGGAGGGTTAATTGATGAGCAAGCCCTAGTGGATGCTCTTGATTCTGGACAGGTTAACTATAAATGATTCTGGTTTTCAGTTTGAATTTTATTTAATGAGAAGTTGTTTCTAAAGCATTCTAAATTTTCAAAAGGTTGCTTCAGCAGGGCTAGATGTGTTCGAAAACGAGCGGTCAATTCAAACAAGCCTGTTACGTCGCGAGAATGTAACTTTATTACCCCATATTTCGACATTCACCCGTGACACTGAGTACGAGATGGAATTACTCGTGTTGCGAAATTTGCAATCAGCTTTGAGTACAGGCGTATTGGTAAATTTGGTTAATAAGCAAAATATTGAACCGTCGTCAGAATTATTTACATTAACTGGTGGATTTTAAAGTTTATTGCCTCTTTTAATGATACAAATAAAATGACGTCATTTAATTATCACATTATGAAGTATGACAGCCAATAAAAAGAGTTCCCGCACAAGTGATCTATTATAATTTTTTCTTGGTGCGTACAAAACAAGAAAAATAAGATGTGTACTACGTATCATTTTTTATTACATTTTCCGAATTCGAGAACACTTTTTTATTATTTAACACAAATAATACGTATAAAGTAAATATCATTGATAGTGCACAAGTAAAAGATGCACATACATACAAGTGAATGTCATTGTAGCCCAGAGGTACATGTAATCGGCCTAATTGTAGCTCAAATCCCAATTGCGATTCATGGTTTTGGTCGTTCATACAAGATTTTAAATTTCTCATGGTGATTTGAATCAAAAACTCAATTAGGATTTGGATGGAGACAGTATGAGAATAATATATGGAAGTGTTACTTTTCTCACGCATATTTCTTTTAATATCGATCGATCATGAGCTCCTAATTTTAATTAAATCATATATTGTAACGATAATTACAAATTTTGAAACTATGACGCAATCAATTTTCCTGTAAATCAGGAGGTGTTATAAAAAGAACGCTCGGTTAGAATTAAATCGGCTGTGGAATCAAATCCGAATTGTTTAAAGAAGAATGATTATACATGTATGCCTATGCATGTAGGATGAAAAATGATCGTGATGTAGATAAAAAAAGATTGTTTAAAAAACAAATTAATCAAGAGATTTTTGATGAGACGAGCGACCGGGATACGCCATGATTATTACATGTACTCACCAAACCGCTAACGTTAGACATTCCTTTCTTATTTCTTATTTGTGTCACAACCACATCAGTTCGGCATTTAAACAATGTATGATAATAATAGGTCAAACCCACCCTTCGTACAGGTACCATGTGGCCAGTCGATTATTAAATAGAAAGAATACAATAAGAATTAAATTTTTATATATATATGCATAGAATATTAAATGGTCATTAGATGGTGCATATGATCATTAAAAATTTGATTAATTCACGATACTACTTAAACACCACTTGTCGAGAATTCGCTTTCTATTATTTAAACTAACTATATATCAAATTTATTGACAAACAATAATATAAACACACACACACACACACACACACACACACGTTTTAAATTTTTCATTGATTTCTGTCTTGTTTTATATTTGTTATCTCTTTGTCTACATTAAAGTATTATTGTCATTTATTTTGCTTGGAAATCAACTCGTGAGAACAAGAAGAAAACAATGTCGTCAAATAATGTCAATGAAATTGACGCCAATCTTCCATGGTCGTCTTCAACGTCGATTGAAAGGAGCGAAGGATCTTTAAAGTTGCCTTTTGTGCGTCCATTAGAGTCTGAACGAAAGTTTAAAAGTCATATAATTGAACAAAAGATCAATGAAATCAAGAATAAAATGCATGATAAAGATCTGGCCAGAATATTTGAAAATTGCTTTCCAAACACTTTAGGTTAGTATTTGGTCATTCAATATCTTATCTATCGTTTAAACTAATTTTTATGACGAAATTTCATAGACACGACTATCGGTTGGATGGATCATTCGGAAAAACGGCCGAGGACATTTATTGTGACAGGCGATATTCCGTAAGTAAAAAACCGAGTCTTTCTAGCTATGCGCCTAAAAACCTAATTATGCAAGGCGTAGTAAAATTTACCTATATATATCAACAACATATGTCGTGTCTCAGATGCCCCTTGCTTCAGATGTGCACTCAGCCCATACCGCATGTATACTACTAGAATTATTGCTGGGGGATAATGTTGGCCGAAACATGATTATCTGAGGCACAACAATATGTACACATTCATATCCAATTCTAAACATTAATGGTTTAATGTAGTGCAATGTGGCTCCGAGATTCCACGAATCAAGTGTTTCCTTATCTGCGATTTGCAAAAAATGATCCAAAATTAAAGAAAATGTTGCTGGGCGTTATTTACATGCAGGCCGATTGTATCCTACAGGTAAGATTAAAATCAGCGTTAGATTATTCGTATCATCTGCTGTTAACATCAATCATGCATTTTCTATTTCCAGCATCCTTATGCGAATGCATTTCATCCACCACCCGGCTCAATTCCAAGATCTGACAATCCTTGGTCACGAGTCGACTCAACTATTCCGGAAACATCAACAAATATATGGGAAGCTAAATGGGAAGTTGATTCACTGGCCGCTTTCTTGAAGATTTCGTATAATTATTGGCTGTATACCGACGAGAAACCTTACATAAATGATGCAAACTGGATAAATGCTGTGAATACTGTTCTCGGCACAATAGAAGTACAACGAAAAGGAACGTTGGAAGAATTTAAGCGGCCTGCTTATACTTTTACGCGGGAGACGAGAACTTCCACCGAGACATTGATGTTGGACGGTAGAGGTATGAATGTATATCTATTTGATGGAAAATTTCGTGGTATTTTTAATTAACAATAAATTTTTTAAAGGTGCACCGGTGAGACGGACAGGTAGAGAAAATTTTTAGCTTTTTGTTACTAAAAAAAAAAAAATAGAGAAGAGACATCTAATAAAAATAACTTACAATTAATAGGCCTTGTAAAGTCGCAATTTCGGCCATCAGACGATGCTTCAGTTTTTCCGTTTTTCATTCCGGGCAATGCGATGTTATCAGTAGAACTAGCACACTTATATGAACTTTTAATTGACACTGAACATCACATGCTAGCAAAAAAAGCAGCACTAATATCGCAAGAAATACGAGAAGCAATTCTTACACACGGAATCGTATCGCACTATCATTTCGGTCGTATATTGGCATACGAAATCGACGGTTACGGCTCAATGCATCTGATGGACGACGCAAATATCCCGAGTTTATTGAGTCTGCCATACATCGAGTTTATACCAAAAGAACACGAACTCTATAAGAGAACACGGAATTTCGTGTTGAGCGATTATAACAAATTTTTCTTTGCTTGTGATAAACCTAAAGAAAATGTTGGGCCTGTTGAGGGAGTTGGTGGTCCGCATATTGGGCTGGGATTTATTTGGCCGATGAGCTTGTGTGTCAAGGTATGTGTGTTTCCTTATTGGACGGTTTCTTTGCTTTAAGTGTAGCAATTTTGTAAAACTATACTTTTACGTCGTAGATAATAACGGCTACTGATGATAAAGAAATCCTGGATACTCTTGAACAGTTAAAGAAAACTACAGCTGACACTGGATTAATGCACGAATCATTTTGGTGGGAGAAGCCGTCCATTTATACTCGGTCATGGTTTGCGTAAGTAATAAATAAATACTGATATGTTTCAAAAAAATATTCCTACGAGAATCTTATACGTCTATTCTATTATTTATAGATGGGCAAACAGCCTGTTTGGTGAGATGATTCTTCGCCTTGCCGAGGAAAAACCACACTTGATTTTTTCGGAAATTAAAATTGAAAAGAAATTGATAGCAGCAATTTAGTGTCGCTTTTCTGAATTCATTGAGAAAATTCCTTACATATTTAATTCATGGACAATATAAGCATTTCAACACACACTTTGTTATTAGCGTCTTTATATTAACGACAAGTAATTTGTCACAGCATAACGATAAGTTTAGAAATTTGTATTAATGATAACCATAATAGTAATACCGAGAGCTATTTTTACGTCGCACCGTCGTCATTGAACATGCACATTTGACAAAGTTTATTTTTCGAAGACAATCGGTTTATCAACTGAAACAAGTCAAAAACAAAATAAATAGTTGCAAATTTGAATTTATCTGGTAAAATTTTTTTTTTAATAACTTGACCTCAGAATAAAAATTATCGCGTCATTTGAAGAAAATTCTTTTACCACAGTATCACAAGAAAGCATATAATATTGCATTTTTTTTTGTGATAACCTGTTAACGCTTCGTTGTCCCACTCAATTTTAATAAACTTCGTTAGTAACCAAGTCGGAAAAAAAATAGGGAAAGCATTTAATTAAAATTTTTCTAATTTCAGGAAAAATGGAATTAGGTTCAATATTTCAACTTTTACCCACGGAAATACGACAGGAAATATTTAAAAACTTTGACCTCGGTACATTGTTCAACTTTTTACGTCTTAACCGACAATCATGCCGTGAAATTGTACCGATTCTCTGGGCAGAACCATTTCGAGATGCACCAATAATGCTTGAAAGCAAAACCTCATCTTACGTTCAATTACAAAAAGTGGTGAATGTCTATGCAGGGAGCTTTCCGAACAGTACATGGGCAGACCTACGTGCCTACGGAATCAGTCGACCACGAACTACTCGAGCGCCAACATTCAACTATGCATCATTTTTACGCATTTATGAGCCAAGTTCAATATTTGTAGCGGCCGGTGCATGGCTTAAACACAAAACAAATAATCCAACCGAACGTCAGTTGATCAGACGACGAGCATTGTCCATCGCTTTGTGTCGACTGTTTCTTGCCGAAGCAACAGCTATAAAGGCAGTTTTCTACGATTTATACGAGGATCCGGAATTTGTGAGATCAATTTTTTTGGAAGTTCAAGCGAAAAATGGCCTATTCAAAAATATCAATCAATTGAGCTTAATCGGAATTACAGATAACAATGAGGACATGAATTTTTTGGAAGGCTTGGCTGAAACCTGTCATTTTATTCGTGGCATTACTCTCGTGATGGATGACTTGAAGGGGAACACAAGCAAAGTGATTAGCAATTTAGTTTCGAGACAGAATTCGCTACAATGGATCAGAATCATCTTTGGATTTCTTCCGTCTCTGAAAATGATCCTCGACTCACTCAAGTATTGTTCCGATACCCTACGGTCTGTCGAATTTCACGACACAAACCTTGACGTGTTTAATAATGAGAACGTAATCAATGGCTTGTTCGCGTGTGAGAATCTTATCTGCCTGGATTTTTGCGATTGCATAGGATTAGAGCAACAACCTTGGGTCGAAATGGCCAAATGTTTTAAAAAATTGGAATTGCTACGGATCATCCTCAGACTAACAGATCCAATACCAGTTCCGTTTATAAAACAAATTATCGAAGCTAGCCGTAATCATCTACAATATCTCCAAGTGGGATTTTCAGACTTGGCTGACTGTTATTACGATGACACCAAATACACAAAGGAAATAGTTGATTTTATCCGTATGAATCCACCACCTAATCTTCGCGGAATCGTGTTGGAAGGATTAAATACTCCCGACGCACTCACTTTGCTAGCAACATGCAAGAAACTTGAGCATATCAGCTTAAATGTTTTAAATTCTCAAAACTTATTTAGTGTATTGAAAGAAAGGGTTCCTCCGACTTTAAAGTCGCTTGAGATTGTCTGTCCATATTCCGGCATAAATAGGGACTCGAATCCTAACGCTGATGAAGAATTTCGTGATTTCTTGGATGCCACTCAAAATCACCTGAAATTTCTTTCAATCCATGATATTGAGTTTGTCAATTATCATATAAATCTCGCCGTCAAATACAGAATAAAGATGATTAACATCCCTGCAAGCATTGGTTTGTTTCCCTTTTCTCGTTTTTTGAATTTCATCTACCATGTTTTCATTTTATTTTTACTTTTTTATAGAAACTGAGATTTTTCCGGATTATTTTCCGAGATTTGAATAATGATGTGATGTCTCGTAGGTATTTCAAATTTTATTAAAAGATTCTTCTAAATTTGGATAGAATTATATTCTAATCAACATTTCTATTTTACATAGAAATTGATTATGTATTAATATCCGGATTCCGCAAACGTTTTATTAAATACTGAACATAGAGAAACAATCCATTAATAAAGTCGTCGCTGTTTATGTACTCGATTACAATTGGCCATATTACTCCAAGTGTTTTTATTCAGATCGAATCCGGCGTTTAAAATAAGCTGGAAAAATCCTTATCGTTAGGAAATAATAAATGAATTACGTAGTGCTATGCTGTTAAATGTCTCGTCATTAGGAAACAAACAACTTGAACATGGTAGGAAACTCATTGTCGAAGTATTTTAAATTACATAGTTCTTTCGAATATCAATAAAATTATCGTTATCCAATTTGGACACGCAAAACTGTTAGTCAATTTTAGCCAATGAAATAATGATTCAAATGTGATAGATTTTACGTACTAATTCGAATAATAAATTTATAGAAAGACAATTTAATAATGAAGTTGTTTTCATTGGCCCAGCTCAAGGATTCATTCAAATTTTCAGCGTAATCTCAGCCAGAACGCAAGACTTAAAGCACAAAATGTTTGTTCTATTTACTTACATGGAATAAGCTCATTAACCATTGTTCATTATATGCATTGTGTTGTTTGACCACTTCAAAAAAAGGTTACCTCGGTGTTTGTGACTCCAACACCGGGAATCATCAACTGCACGCTGCATGTATATCCCGAATCTGTTGTGCTAAACTGATAATACGGCAAAGTCATCAAATGCAAGACACAGCAACATAAAGGCTTAGTAGTGCATACCCCTCTCATTCAAAGAAATGCGTTTGTTATTTCATTCACCATTCATGCACAAAACTTTTTAAACTTTATTTAGACAAAGTCAATATTTATGTGACTTACAAAAGCAATTCTTCCAATTTTATCAAGATCTTTTCCTCTTATTTTTATGAATGATGTATTTTTTTTTGAATGGCTTCTATGTTTCTACCTTTCATTCTTTCAATAAATTACTCACATTGTTATAAGTCTTGAAACATAAAATTAATGCGTCATTATTAAGATATACTGTTCATTGTAATAGCAATATCCCTTTTTATACAAGGTCATGTCTGATTGCAAACTCTTCTAATTTCGTCAACCAACATTTGCCTGGATCTATGCGACGACAACGATGCAAAACCCAAATGGATGGATGGCTCTTTCATATAGTCTCGATTGCCTGAATTCAATTTTCCGTGAGAATCCGATCTGGTATGACGTCCCACAAATCACAATCCCGAAGCTCGGATGCACGAAATCTCGAACAGCATTACGAAATCTCGAATTTACGCCATTCCGAATGCACGAAATCCCGATACCGTGATTTTGGCATTCCATGTTGTACATTTGGGATTTTGTGCATACGGGGTGCCGTTCATTCGGGATTTCATCTGGTGGCTTATGTCAACGTCACTGGAGAATTTGCTGATAACCAATACTTTAATTTATACCTCTGGCAAAATGTTTGATGACCAAAAATATTCTGACTATTTTGCATGAAAAATTAGATTCGTTCAATGTATGTATATATAATCCAAACTAAATAATCAAATTGTTTATGGATTCTCGAAAGATGTTTCATGAAGGAGACAGGCATTCATATGAGAGAAAAGTGAGAAAATTTGGTGACTCTGATATTTAATGTCTCACTGCCCGAAAGATTAACAAAGGTTAAAACAGTCTTCCAGATTTAACTGCTCATAGAAAGGCCTTTTGAGATACCTGACATGATAAATCAAAAGATGAGAAAAATCACGCGAGGAAAATCAGGAAGATGTGATGTTGTCGCAGTATCGATTTCGTCAACATCTAATCACCAACACGAGGAATTAGAGTTCCTTGAAGAGCGTTGACAATTATATCCCCTTATGCATAATGCTCTCGGCAACAAACACAATGCGTATATTGTATATTGAATAAATTTTAAATTTGTAGGTACGCACCATTTTTTTAGAAAAAAATAAAATCGGAATTTTTAAATAGCTAATTTAAAAGTACCTGCTCAACTGTTTTAAAAAGATAGAAGAGCACAATGTAACAATAACCGAATGTCATAATCAGCAATATTTACAATATTATCCACATTGAGGCATGTACGTATCTTCAACAGCTTGTGGCTGTTGAAGAATCCGAAGCGCACACTGCTGGAATTTTAAGGTTCATGAAGTGATGCTGTGAATTTACTGTTAAACTTGATGAAATGATTCTATGGAACACTTCTTTAGCTAATGTTTGATGAAGCCTCAGGTAATAATAGCTACTTAGTAATGCCTGACTTTATGTTTTTTCGAACATATTATATAAAGTCAAAAAAAAACCATGACGTTATTTAGTTGTTCTACAATTTTGTCGTGAATAATTATCGTATATAAGTCAATGCTTTCAAAAGAAATGGCTTTGTTCCCTCAACTAGTATAGAATCTTTTATTTTGATTGTAATCAGTGCATATATTTCCATGCATTAAAAATCTGAAGTAACAGAAATAATGCTTATTTATGAAATAAAGTTTACCTTAATATTATAATTTAAATGGCAAAGAAATTTGTAACAAGCATGTCACCTTTTTAATGCGAAGTATCATGATTTTATGTGACCAGTAATTGTCTCTCCAATGAATTATCGTGATACGTATAATTGACACACTGATACTCTGACATTTACAGTCATATTTCTGTACGACTCTTATAATTAATATTAAAAAAAAGTTTATAACTCAGGTAGCGCGTTCCTATGATTCTCACTATTCGTTGGAATTTTCTCGCATGTCATTCTACATACATTATTCAAATTTTCTGCTTCCATGTGATCTAATGTCAGATCTTTACAAAAATGGACGAAATAATTTCGGTGATAGAATTTCCCGGGAAAAGAACCAAATACATGTATGATCTATTGTGAATCGCATACTTTTTCTCATCATTGAATTAAATTACCACCGATTCTTGATGATACTGATTTCTTTAAAACAACTTTTTTCGCAATAATCGCATATATTTAATACAATGTCTCTCTCCATACACACATTCAACATAATGATGACCACCAATCACGACGGAAAATATGTGCCAGGCCGAGAGTCTATGGACGCTAACAGATTTAATAATAATAATAATATAAATTATAAATTTGTACGTACATATCATTTTGTTAGAAAAAATAAAATCGGAAATTTGAATAAATTTAAATAGCTAATTGAGAAGTACCGAGTTGGTAGATGCTCAACTTTTTTAAAAAGATATCTAACATTGAGGCATGTACGTACCTCCAACGATTTGTGGCTGGTGAAGAATCCGCAGTGCACAACTGCTAGAATTTTAAGTCTTGATGGGAAGTGAACTCTTCTTTTGAGGAACATTGACTTATATACATTATTTCATTCTTTTTTGTTGGATAATTAAAGATCACGACAAAATTGTAGAACAACTAAAAAGCGTCATATTTTTTATGACTTTATAATATGTTCGGAAAACATAAAGTAGCCAATATCAGGTATTACTAGGTAACCATTATTTCCTGAGTCTTCATCAAACAATAATCGAAGAAGAATCATTTCATCAAGATTTAAAATCCCAGCATCATTTTATTTCCTCACGGATGACTTGTTCCTTTAACAGACATGAGATCTTTTTATTTGAATCGCAATCAGTACATATATTTGATATAATGGTCAGAAAGTTCAACAAATTTTCCATGCGCATAAAATCTGAGATATCGGAAATAGTGCATATTCATGAAATAAGGTTTTGCATTAATATTATGATTTTAAAGAACAAAGAAGTTTGTAAAAAGCATGTCCACCTTTTTAATGCAAAACATCATAATTTTTATGTGTTTTGAAGAATGACCGGCAATTGTTTTTCCTATAAAATTAGCGTGATGCTTCCCGCTATGTTGAACATGTATAATTGACACACTGGTACGCTGATATTTTCAGTATTCTTAGTTCTAGACTTAGTTTTATAATAGTGAACCGACGACCTTGTGATATCCCAAAAAAGAAAATTCATAACTCAGGTGGTGTGTTCTTATGATTCTCACTATTCATTGGAATTTTTCAAACTATTCTCGCATGTCATTCTTATAAGAATTTAATATCGTTCATATAAATTTCATTAAGATTTGTTTCACTTTTTCGTATTAGGTAACTTTCATTAAAATGTATATATGAAAACAAGGTACACGACTGCTTCCATGTGATTTAATGTCAGATCTTTCCGAAATGGACGAAGTAATTTCGGTAATAGAATTTTTGAGCTTAATATGATCTACTGCGAATCACATATTTAGGCACAAACTTTAAACAATTTCGAATGTTTTTGTTGCATCTTTCATTTCTTTTCATCACGAAAAACCAAAAGTTCACTTTTGGTTTAATTCATATGCTGTTGTCTTGATGTTATTGTTGCTGCCGCTGCTAACTTCCTTATCCTCGAGTCTCGAGTCCTAATAAAATTCTCCTTTTCGCAACAATCGCATTTAGTACAACATCTCTTTCTCTATTTAAACACTTACATACAACATAAAGATGGCCAACGTTCACGGACAATATATTGTGCCAGGCCCGGAGCCTATAGAACCTGACAGATATAATAATAATAGAGAATCATTCATTACAAACGGTACAGAAATTCTTAGTTATACGGGAACTGAACTCAGTCACGATAACAATCAACAAGGGGATGGCAACGATGAAAATGAGGCAGCAGCAGATCAGACAATAGAACCTACAGAAAAAAAACCTCTGTATCGCCAAAGGCGTTTTTGGTATATTTGCTGTGGAATCAACGCCGTTATTACTATCATCCTGATCCTATTAATTGTTTTCGTCATATTCCCGGCGATTGCTCAGAAGTCAATCGACAAATCTAAATTATCCTTCGAACGCGTCTCTATTCAAATGCCGATAAGTGAGAACTCCTTCAACCTGGCTCGTAGTGGAAGAGTTTCCAATGGTGGCTCGATAAAGGCCACTGTGAGCTTTCCCCAACCTATTGATGTGATTTGGAATCAAAAGAAAATCGGAGAACTTCAACTTCCTGAAACGAAGATTTCTGGTGGAGATTCAGAAATAGTGAGTACGGGACCATTTAATATCACGGATGTGAAAGCTTTCAGTCAATTCACCATCGAGCAATTGAATAGTGATCTATTCAATTGGACATTAAATGGAAAAGTCGATGTAAAAGCTTTAGGATTAAGCGCACGCGGGTTGAACTTTAATAAGACCATTGTTACGCCAGGTGAACATTCAGATATCTTATATATCTATATATATATATGCTTGTAATTATGATTATAATTGGTATTAATTACTTAATTGAGTGATCGGTTAATTTAACATCTTTAGGAGGACGTGGCTTTAAAAACTCAACGATTTTACATTACCAGTTTATCACATACAACGACATTCCACTCGGAGGACAAAACATCACCGTATCTATGTGGAACCCATCGCCAATTTCCGTTTACTTAGGCACTTTAGGACTCCACATTTATTACAGAGAGACTTATATGGGTCTAATTGAAACCACAAAGCTTACCATCAACCCGGGCGAAAATACGATAAATTTTGTAGGAAGTTTCGTCTCGAATTTTTCCGCTAACGATACCGGAAACCTGGTAGATCTCTTTACTAGAATTGCATTCGAACAAGTAGTCGTTAATAACGCCAAAGGAGCGTATGCAAAACCAGATGGTGTTCATGAAATATCCTGGCTGTCGACTGGAGTTCAAGCGATTGAGATGACTAATGTTCTTCCTAATGTGACACTTCCACCATTATTTTCTTTATTTAATATTAGTTTTCCACCGCTGAGCGATTCTAATTAATTTTCATGAGGATATGGTATATAATGAAAAGAAATTTTCATGTTATTTAGAATTTCTGCTATCTAATCTAAAAAATATAGAAGAATTTAGTTTAGTTTTTTATAGTAGATATCGTTGGATGTAATGATAATTCATTTTATTTAATAGCAATGAAAAAACGATGATGATACAATTGTATGAAAAGTCATCGATGTAAGATTTGATAAAGCGATTCAATAAAACGCTTTTAATTTTCCATCGGGATAATAACGAAGCAAAAAGTATTTAAATTTTTTGATTTCAAACTTGTTATACTACTTAAGAAATTATCAATGGCATCGAGATCACAATTACGCGCTTTCCAAGAATCGTGCTTATCAATAATTAAAGTTTGTAGTTTAGTACAGGATTTAACGAGGTCAAGTATTGATTCCAAATCTTTAACGAATGTTATGAAACAAGAAAAATGTAAAAGTTTAGGACAAACGCGTCCAACATGTTTAAAGAATAGGTGATAGTCTTTGTCGATGTTGTATGATGGTACCCAATATTTTCGTTCGATTCGAAGATCGAGGGAGGTTAAGTGTTGCGAGTTCGTTTCAATAATCTTCAAGATACCGTGAGCGTAAATTTGAGAATTTCTGAATGATAGTTTTTGAAGATTTGGTAAATCGGATGTGTAGAGTAATTTCAACGGAGATAAATTCCATCGATATGATAAGTTTGAAAAATTTAATTCCCTAAGTTTATTGAATTTTTGTAGATTGGCAAGTTCTTTCCAATGTAAGGAATTTAGTCCATCGAATGACAAAACTTCTAAGCTGTGTGCATGCGCTTCTAACGCTTCCATAATGAGAACACAATTTCTTTGTGTATGCCACTCTTCGAACAACTCTAATTTCTCCCCAGATAATCCATTTAAAATTAAATTTGGTAATAAATTGGGCTCTCTATAGCACGAAAAGTCAAATGTTCGTAAATGTTTTTGCGTCATAACAATCTTTACAAGACTTTTTGATTCATCCATAATTTCATCGACGTCTTTATCAGGATTCGATTTGTGTTTCACTTCTTGCTTAATCCTAACAGTGATTCCTTGTATATTACGACATACTTGAGATAATTCTGTTAATAATTTTGTTATTTCGTGCGAATTGGAGCAAACACGTTCAATTTTGTTTTGTGACGACAAAAGTTTGTTCATGAGTTGTCTTTCTCGCAGTTCTAATTGGTTGTTGAACTGGAACCTATATTCGTGGCTGCTTTCAGGGCATTTGATTGTTAATGATATGTCTTCTCTTTCTATTAAATTCTTTTTTAATTTATAATATGGCATCTTTCTTGAATCAAAAATTTTTGCAATGTTACGTTATTTTATAGTTTTCTAACGCTAAAAATTACATGTATTTTGAATTATGAAATTTCATATAATAAATTGTATAATGTAGCAAATGATATTTCTTAAAAGGGAACTCCTCACATATTTTGTATTACGCTATATGAATTTTCTATAAATGTGATTGTAAAATTCCTACAAAAGGAAAATCTTTAATCAAACGAACGAATGAACTACTTAACAATGGCGAACGAATAAAATCATTTTTTTATTATATTCTTTCTTAATCAAGGATTTGTTAAAGGAAGTATTTATAATGGAAGGCTGTTTTTAGTCAGTCAATAATCTTTGTCTATATCTGCATCAGATAATAATAACGATAAAGTCTATTATGGCAAAATGTATATCGTACGATATCGATATATAGCGATAATCTTTAAGGTCATTATCATGAGATTCATCTTTTGCCACATTGACTTGAAACAATCCGCATTATCTTTCCAACTTTGATTTACAATTTATTGATTGGTTTAGATTGTTTTGAACAAAAAATAATTGATAATATCCTGTCTTTTATTATTGTTTGTCTCATTTTCGAAACGAAATACATGTATATCCATCTCATGTTATGTGAATTTTGTATGTCTTGAAATTTTGTCTAGCTCCAAAGGATGTTAATATCCTCCTCCGTTACCGCCTGGAATTACCCGTTTAACCATATCTCTAGAATTTTCCTCGTCGTTTAGCGATTTCTCAATTTCGGAATTCGTGCACTTTAATATTAATCATTCGCCACTTCATTATCGATATTAGTTTTTCATTCTCATTTTCATTAGCGTCCAAATCAATTAGCCCTATACTATTTTTTATATGAATATTGTCGAATGTTGTGATTTCAAAAAGATGCGTAAATTAATGTCACTTACATGTATGTATCAAATACGTATAACGAGATGCTTACCGTGTTAAATGAACTTTTAGCCTAAGAATATGCTTTTGTTTAAACGAGAACTAGAAAAATGTCGTATGAAATTTCATTCTTATCGCTATAGTAATCAATACACGTACGAAGTAAATTTGATAAGCCAAAAAATCAAGTTGTCAGATATACGGTACATATAACATCGGAAGCCAAGGAAATTTCATTTAACGAATTTAATTGAAGTCATTAAAAATAATGAACTCATGTATAAATATCTACCCCAACATTCCGACATCCATATTCCGAAAATCCAACATTCCGAAAATCTCTCAGCAAAACTAAGTTCTGGTTTATGTATGGGAATTGGAGTTGGAGGTTAGGTTATCAGGATGTTGTGTTGGATTGCCGGAAAGATGGGTGTCGGGATGTTGGGTGGCATCCAGGATTTTTTAGTGTCTTTTTTTAGCTGCCTGAATTTTAAATTAATATTGATTATTAGTCAACTATTAACTTTCGAAAAACTCTGACAATTCACGTATTAGAAAAAAGCTTGAGCTACATTTGCAGGCAAAATAGATTACAAGAATATTCATTGTTTTAATGATGTATTTATGTCATATTTCGATCATGTTAAATAGAGTGTTTGTTATTTCGTTAAGCGTAATTATCTAAAGGTCGTAACTGCAACCAACCTTTAATTCTCTAAATGCACGCACTTAATTTATGCAAATTTATAAAACTTCTAATTACATTATGCACGTATATATATATATTTCAGCCTCTCTCTGCATTGTACATGTACGTATCAGTATATGAAGGAAACACCGATTGTCATATTGATATGGTGGTGGTGTTACATTTCATTTTTTTCTGCAAATTAAATGTCAAGAAACAATTTAAGACCACATACTTGGGAGGTATGAACACCAATTATAATAGTATCGAAGAAATGGAGAAGTGTCACTTCAAAATTAACCTGTGTGAATTTTTTTGAATTTTATATTAGATTTTAGGACCATTCCCAATTGGAACTCGAGAAATAGGTTTTGGTGCAGATCCATTAGAAGCATATGGTAGATAATTGATGAAAATTTTTTAAGTTTATTCGCTTTTCTAAAACAAATTATGCATTTTTGAAACGTAAATAGGCGGATTCGCAAACCTAAAATACTCGACAACTGAAACATATCCTTCTGAATTAGCGGACAATGGAGTAGTTGGTTGGTCTATGATCTCGGAAAATGAAGATGGATCGGTTGGTCCTTTCAATTTTCCGAATGTTAGGTAAAATTTCGAATTTCTATTAAAACAATTTTATTGATACGATAAGTTTGAATTGAACTTCTACTTTTTTTTGATCAAAGGTGGAATTTTAATCAACAACCGCTTGGTTGGGCGATAAATCAGTTCCAAATTTGGGCACGGGGAAAATTCAATGTACCTTCTGACTCATTTTCCGACTCTCCAGATACAACAACGAGGATGGACACTACCACGATAAAATTTCAATGTTATAATATCACAGAATTTTACATTGATGATATACGTTTTTACGGTGACTTTTACAACTACAAAAATCAATGGCACATTTCACATCTAACTCCGGGAACTCATACAATCAGAGTTCGTGTAGTGAATGAGATTCGTATTTTTGGTGGAAAAGTTCCACCGACTGTTCGATTTTCAGTGGATATTTATCAGTCGAAAGATTCGTTCCTAATACTTGAAAATGAAGGTGTCTATACTTCAGTTATTGTTCCGGATATTGTGGATGGAATGCTGGCGGGAGAAGTTATGAGCATTCCAATTTTGAATGCTGGTAATCTTTGGGGTTATGTAGATAAAGTTGAAGCATTAATGGTAAATTATAATGGATCATTATTTTATTTTCGAGATTTTCCGAATTTATTCTTAATTTTTCAAAAAAGCCAGAGGGCTCGGATTTTGAAACTGCAAAAAATACGAAACTTTTCGAAGCAAGACTAGACAAAGGCTCAAATTCCGATACCAAAAAAGATACATTTTTTCGAATAGCTCCATCACAACAACGAAATCTAAAAATCTATCTAAAACTAGCCGACAATAATCAGTCACAGAATGATATTTCTTTTCAATTAAAATTTGGTATTATGCTGGAAAACAATACATACATCACTCTAAATTCCAATACAATCACAATCATCTCGAGGAAATTCGGCGAACCTTTCAAGTTTACATTTGAGGATTTTGATGGAACGGTTCAATATGGTTAGTTTTCCAGAAGCTATCAAAAAATGTTAACAAAATAAATTAAATTAATTGAGATTGCTTCTTTTTCAATAGCTATTGCTATTCCGCCACTCGAACTTATTACTACTGGCACTTGTCCTTTACTTTTGGCCTTACACGGAGCAGGTGTAGAAACTGAGATGTCATTTTGGAAAAATGCTATCAAAAGACAAACAAAGGCTTGGGTAGTTAATATTTTTTGAATCTTTGCATAATACATGCAAATATTTTATGCAAGTTCTTTGAAAATATCCCAGGTTTTACTACCAAGTGGAAGAACTCCTTGGGGATATGATTGGCATGGACCGAGCAGAACGAATGTATTTACTTCAATAGAAAGTTTAAAGTACCTACCTTTTGTGAATATACAAGATTTTAGTCCAATCGTCTTAGCAGGTTTGATAAAATTTGTTATTTATACTGAATTCTTACGCGTTCAGATAGTTTTTGATCAATTTTTTAATTTAGGACATTCGAATGGGGGTCAAGGTACTTGGCATTTTTTGACACATTTTCCCGATTCATTTATTGCAGGTTTCTTTTGAATTTTTTATGTGCATTTGACCACGTTGATGTCCATTTTTTTGTTTTTATAAAGTTGATTTTTCATTCGAATAATCTAGCCGTGCCAGTTGCAGGATTCACGAAAATTCAACGCTATGTTCCATATTATTGGAATAGTGAAGCGCATATTGATCCTATATTACAAGCGGCAAGTGTTCAAATATAATTGAATATATTACGGAAATAATTAAAATAATATCAATACTTTAGATTCTTGAATCTTCTATTGCGGAGAACAACAACGACTTGTATGCTTCGAACCTTGTAAGTTATTAAATTTTCATTTGCAATAATTCATCGAAATCACTAAAGCAAAAATTTATTTGTCCAAAAGACTGGCATCCCAATTTTAGCTCGAACAGGTTCTGAGGATGATAACGTTCCACCAATACATTCACGTAGCCTTGTTCGTCTCGTCAATGAGCATTCACATAATAATAGTGCGATAAAGTATCTTTTATTTCTTTTAATTAATAAAGCATCTTTCCGGAAAAAATGGTAACTATTTAAATTTTTTGTTAGATTACTAGAAGATCTAGGAAAGGGACATTGGTTTGATGATGCATTAAGTGATGCCAAAATTCAGCCATTTTTTGATAAGCACCTTTACCAAAAAAATGAAAACGAAGGAGGGACCAATGAAACTGAATTTTATCGTCAATTTTCAAAAGGATTATTTTCTCAAAAAAAAGAATTCACTCTGACTCTGATAAATCCTGCGGGTTGTGGTACTAAAGGTGGAGTAAAAATCGAGCAACTGGAGACTCCTTATAGGTATTTTATTAAAATAAATTTTTTTCTTGCAATTTTTGTCTGTCGCTATGCGCGTTCGTAACGGTACTTATTGTTGCTAGATTGGCAAGATTTACTATGTTTTTGGATAAGCCGTCGGATCCCAACAAATTATTCGATTTCAGAACCACAAATATCAGTAGATTTACAGTTAATAAAGTAAATAGACAAGGAAACTTAAAATTACAAAAGGTATTATATTCTAAGAAGGAAAATGGAACTTGGGAGGTAATTTATTTTCACTCCTATCACTATAAAAAAGTTGAACAATTCTTGCTTTGACGTATTAGAAGTTTAACGATACATATTTCTTGATTTAATATCAAAGATAACAAATGACAACGAATCATGGAAGAAAACTCAAAGACACAGCGATAATTACGGACCTGCAATTCAGGTTCTCGAGTCTCCTGGACCATTGTTAATTATAATTGGAAACCAATTTAAAGACAAGCTATCTTCAATATACTGTATATGCATATTGCACTAGAGATAGCCAATTCATGGTTTCTTTACGGTCGAGGTGATTCGTTGATACTTACAGATAAAGAATACGCGGAAATTATAACTTCTGGTCAAGTCCCAAATGGCAATTTAGTATTGCTAGGTGGTCCAGATATCAATTATGCTACGAAGAATTTACTTGATAAGAGGCCTAGTTCAGGTGTTGTTCATAGAACTTTCACAATTTGATTTTAAACTTTTTTAGATTTGTAATTAATAAAAATTACTCTATTTATGTATAGTGACATTTGATACAGAAAGTTTTACGATTGCAAAAAGGAAATTTTACGAAAAGAATACAGGTAGCTTATCTATATTTAAATTTTTTCATTACATTCAACTTCTTTTATTTACATTTTAATTAACTTTTTAGGAATACTTTTTCTTCATCCACCTATTGCAAAGCCACATTTAGCATTAATTATTGCTGGTACGGATGAAGTAGGGTTTGAAAATGCTGCGAAATTATTTCCGAAGATAACCGGCGTGCCGGTTCCTGATTGGATCATTGTTGGCCCCGAAGTGAAATGGAAAGGCGTTGGAGGATTACTTGGAGCTGGGTAAATCCTACTTTTAGTTTAACTTGTTCTACTCTATCAGATGAATATTTATTCTTTGACTTTCGTTTACTAGGTTTTGGAATAATCAATGGAAATTTAATCCTTCTACAGGGTATCTACTTTAGAGAACTGATAAAATAAATATATGTGTAGAAATAAATAAATCATATATAAATTCAAGTGATAAAATTTGCTAAACTATAAGAATATAAGGTGTTCAAATGGCTATTGTGACTTATTAATAGGGTATATTTCTTCAAAATTATAGGATTCAACCATTTCCTGTGCTATTTCATGCCCATTTTTTCTTGCTTCTTCATACCATTTTAAGGCTAAATGTTCATTTGACGAAA